ATTTACTTAAATGACAGAGTGACACAGAAAGGGAGACAGAGATCTTCCATCTTCTGTTCTACTCTGTAAATGACCACAAGCCTGAAGTCATGAGCGTGCAACTCCATCTGGGTCTCCAATATGGACAGAAAGGACCAAATTATCTGAGCTATCTTTTGCTGCTTTCCCAGGTGCAATAGAAGGGAGCTGGTTCAGAAGTGGAGCAGCCAGGATTTAAATAGAGCTCCAATATAGGATCCTGGTGTTGCAGGTGACAGCTTAACCTACTGCACCACAACACCAGTCCCAGAATTATGATTTTTCGTGACATTCTTTCTGTTTGAAACATTGCCGATTCTTACTGGTTTCCAAATTGAGAGAAAAATTTTTTTCTTCTTTTAAGCTAACCATAACTTGCAGCAGTTTGATAAAACTTACCTCTTGAGAGCTGAATTGAAGCCTTCACCTTCCTGAAGGGATCTTCCCTCCCCTTCAGTATTGGGAAACTATTTGTGAGCATTTTCAATTCTATAATACTGTTATTTGTACAAATTTGATAAAACTTCTCCTCTCTTTGTAACAGAATTGATTGTAAACACTGATTATGTTAAGACCAGACCAAGTTAAGGAACAGAAGATTGACTTTATGAAGTCAATAGGGTATATAGTTTTTTCACAATTGTCTATCTTTTAAATGCCCATGTAAAATTGGTACTGCTGTTTTGCAGATTGGTCTTTGAGACTGTCTGAGTTGTATTATTTAAGATGGAACATCAGATCAATGGTCCAATTTTGTATGTTATTGTTATTAACTTTGTATACGTTTCTCTCAAGACCAATGTGGTTTTGGCACTTTTTTATATTTCTACTACTACTTATCAGTAATTTCCAAAGGTGCTATTCTCTTGAAACCAACAGGAGGCAATGATTTGAAATTGATTTTACTCATTCGCTTGTAAAATATGCAAGCTTATAAAAATTGACGTTATTTCAACTGTATTTATATATCACACTATTTTTAGTTGTCTTTGGGTTTATGGTATTTTCTGCTATATTAGAGGTTTTTTAAATTTTTGATGAGCATGTAATAATTACACATGTATGGCCGGCGCCGCGGCTCACTAGGCTAATCCTCCGCCTAGCGGCGCTGGCACTCCAGGTTCTAGTCCTGGTCGGGGCGCCGGATTCTGTCCCGGTTGCCCCTCTTCCAGGCCAGCCCTCTGCTGTGGCCCAGGAGGACAGTGGAGGATGGCCCAAGTGCTTGGGCCCTGCACCCCATGGGAGACCAGGAAAAGCACCTGGCTCCTGGCTCCTGCCATCGGATCAGCACGGTGCGCCGGCCGTGGCGGCCATTGGAGGGTGAACCAACAGCAAAGGAAGACCTTTCTCTCTGTCTCTCTCTCTCACTGTCCACTCTGCCTGTCAAAAAAAAAAAATTACACATATATAATTTAACTGTGCTATTTTAACACATATATAGTATATATTGACCAAATCAGATATGATATTTTAATCTCCTTTTCTTTATGATATTTTAATCTCCTTTTCTTTTCTTTATGTTTTTTGCCTTAAAGCCTCTCTTTTCTATTTTGTTATTGCATGCTAATTTTCATCTCAGTTGCAACATATGCTCTCCAATCATCTTAATGGTGTGAACTAATACAATTGGACATACCAAATTATTTTATGAATATAAATGCATATATATGCATTTACGTGGAATTATAAAAGAAGTATACAGTTACTGAAAATTTCAGAAAGTATTTATTCAGGTATATAATTATACATTATTCATATTAGGAATGTATTCTCCAAAATGTGTCATTGTATGAAGCTTTATAGACTGCTTTTCACCATCTGACATGGTTGCAACATCACTAGGCAATATAATGTTATATATTTATATCCTAATGTCTAATTCCTTCCTTCCCTCCTTTTTGCCTTCCTTCCTTCCTTCCTACCGTAATTTATCCATTTTCATTCATACTGAAAATATGTATTTTGAGCCTGTTGTGTGTCAGGTACTATACTGAGTGCCAGGAGTGCAATGGTATGGAAAATATTATGCCCTTCCTACCCTCCTGAAGCCTACAACCTTGAAAGGGGAAAAGAAGATGCATAAAGCGCTCTGTTGTAAATAAAAAAAATCAGCTAAAGAGCATCAAAGGAGTACTTCAATAGGGTGATAAAGGAATACATCTCTGAATAAGAGACAAACTGGATTCTAAATCCTGACAAAAATTAGCCATTTAATGCACTTAGGAAAGGGTGTTCATTAATGTTACACTGAATGGTTCTGGGATGGTAAATTATGTTGGAGTTAGTGAGAAGTTCTGGAAGAAACCTAGGCAGAATGAGAAACGTGACATGAAGATAACATAGAGGCAGTAAAGAGACTAATCATTTGAGCCTTCAAAGTTAATAGTTTCAGTTCTTTTCTAACTATAAAGGGAATTCATTGGAGGATTTAATGGCAGTCAAATTAAAGTCTCAGTAGTTTGACTTCTTTATACAAATAGACTGGAAGAAAAGAATAGGCATATTATTATGTGTCTATTCTATTATTTTTGTATACCTAATTTCACAGCATTTCTGTCCCATAAGAATAAATCATATAACTATTAGTAATTGATATTTTTCTCTTAATTCCATAGGTTCTAAAAACCACTAATTTACTTTTGCATCTATGGATTTGTTTATTCTTGATGTTTCATTTAAAGGGAATCTTAGTACATGTGTTTGCCTTTTTTGATTTGACAGGTTCACTTAGAATAATGACTTTAGGGGCATGTGCTGTGGCATAGTGGGTAAAGCTACCACCTGCAGTGCTGGCATCCCATATGGGTGCCAGTTCAAGTCCCTGCTGCTCCACTTCCAATCTAACTCTCTGCTATGGCCTGGGAAAGCAGTAGAAGATGTTCTAAGTCCTTGGAACCCTGCACCCACATGGGAAAGCCAGAAGAAGCTTCTGACTTCAGATCTGCTCTGCTCCAGCTATTGCAGCCATTTGGGGAGTGAACCAATGGATGGAAGACCCCCCCCACCTCTCTGTAACTCTGCCTTTCAAACAAATAAGTAAAAATCTTCTAAAAAAAAGAATAATGACTTTAAATCCAAAACATGTACCCATACTTCATTTATTTTTGGCTGAATAATATAACATTGTTTGGCTACATGGAATTTTTCATTCATTCAAAAATTCGTTAGTTTATGGAAACTGGGGTTGTTTTCACACTTCGATTGCTATGAATAATGCTTATATGAACATTCATATACAAGTTTGTGTGAACATATGTTATCACTTTTTTAGGTATGTACCCAGGAATGGAATTGTTGGGACATATGGTAACTCTGTTTAAAGTTTGTTTTTAAAAGATTTATTTATTTATTTGCAAGGCAGAAGTCACAGAAAGAGAGATAGATGGGTGAGGGAGACAGGGAGAAAGAGAGAGATTTTCTATCAATTATTTGACTTCCCAAACAATAGTTGGGGCTGTGCTAAACAGAAGCCAGTAGCTAGGAACTCTGTCCATGTTTCTCACATCAGTTTCAGGGATCCAAGTACTTGAGGGTAAACATTTATTGCTTCCCAGGGACATTAGCAGGGAGCTGGATCAGAAGAAGAGTGGTTAACTCCTTGAACTAGCACTCTATTGTGGGATGCAGGCATCCCAATCAGTGGCTTAACCTGCTGTGCCACAACACCAGCCCTTGTTTAAAGCTTTTGAAGAACTTATAGACTGTTTTCCACAGTTACTGTACCATTTTATATCCCAATATATGTGTTTCAATTTTACCACTTCCTCATTAACTCGTTAATATCCATTTATTTGATTACAGCAATCTTAGTCAATACAAAGTGGTGTCTCTTGGTTAGATTTGTAATTCTCTAAGAAGTAATGATATCGAGAGTTGCTTTATTTGCTAACTTTTTATAATAGCATGAGACTATAATAGTCTCCATGCAAGATGGAGATGTGCAAAGTGAAAAAAGAATTGATAGGAAGAAATTTGCAACAATTATTATATATATGCACATAACAAAATATACTGAAAATGACAAAAAGCTTTTTAATGTACATTAGTACATGAAAAGCTTGTTAATATACATTAGTGAATTTCAAGTGACAAAAGGTGGAAAATATCTGACTCATATCAAGAAATATATAATATCAACATTAATAAGACTATTCTACAAAATTAAAATAGAATTATCATGCCTAAGATAAGTAAGTTACATTCTGTTAATTAAAATACAGTTTATACTAAGTTGTCTGCTAAAATTATATATGTATTATTTATTGATTTCTTTATGTTTTTATTTAAGGAAGAAGCAGAGAATTTTAGAATGTTTCTTATTTTGTAGCAGAGCTGTTGTTTCACTGTATAAAATAGCACCAGCAAATGCAGTACATTGCAAAATTAAGATAGTATTGTTCTTTCTTTGGCACTGTGCAACTAACAAACACTGTTCTGTATTCCCAGTTACTTCCAATGGAAATATCATTATATATTTTGATCCCAATCCAAGGATGGGTATAAGCAAGTTACAATATTACTTAAGTTACAACATTACATATTTCCAAACCACCAAACTCGTTTTGGTTTTTCAGTTTTGTCCCATTATTTTGCTCTACATTACTTAAGATAACAATGTTATCCTTGAATTACATTATTTGCATAAATAGTTTTTACCACAGACAACTTCATACTTTCTGAATACTAGTGCCTAGAGCCTAGTATAAAAATCACAAGGTATTGGGGAAAAAGATGCATATTGTGTTCACCTGCAATCATTACAAAGTTAGGGAATATTTTCTTCCAGTAGCAGAGTTGAAAGTAGTATCTCTTCCATCAATATTACTAAAAGATGTTATATTAAGTCCTGTCTGCCACTAATTTAAGATAACTGTGCTGAATGAAGTTATTCCATACTAGTTTATGTAAGGGTTCCACTTTCATTCCTCAATAAATTTTATCTATTTCTCATAGGCTTCTTGACTCATTAGTTCATCTCATTCTTAAGGGTTACTCAGTGTCATCTTGATCAGCCAACCACCTTCATAACAAGATTTGTTGATGAGTCCTGGGTTTCCTGCAAGGGCTTCATTAATTTCAGTTATTTCTCCTGATAGAGGAGAATAGAGTTCACTAGCAGCTTTCACACTTTCCAAACCACCAAACTCATTTTGGTGTTTCAGTTTTGTCCCAAATTCATACAAACTATAATAAACAACATCTCCCAAAGCTTCCTTTGCAAAATTGCTAATTCCCACTGTTCCAATACCATTTTCTGTTGTTAGACATTCATGTTTCTCTGTGAAATCATGCATTGATAGCAGACTTTGTTCCATGCCTAGCATCCAGATGGTGCCCACCCACAATCCCCAGGTAAGAAGAGAGCAGGGTGCAGGCCATGGCCACAGGCTCCATGCCACTCACAGCGCCATGATCAGCATGTTCACAGGGGTGCCAATGGCCACTGCATTTCTTTATTTTCTCTTTAACATTATCAGTAGTCACCCTGTTGTGCAATTGAACCCCCAGAACTTCTTACTCAAATATAACTATAACCTAGTATTTGTCAATTAACCTTTCCCCCTTCTTCCTTCCTCACTTCCCTCCCCAGCCCCAGTTAACCACAATTACATTTATAACTTCTACGAATTCACTTATTTTTTAGACTTAAGGCATGAGTGATATCATGTGATAATTGCATTTCTGTGCTTGACTTATCTCACTTAAAATAATGACTTTCAGTTCCAGCCATGTTTTTGCAAATTACAACATTTCAACCTTTATTATGCCTGAGTAATATTCTGTTGTGCACATTACCATGATTTTTTTTATCCATTCATATGTGGATGGACACATAAGTCCATTTCCATTTCTTGACTATTCTGAATAATAATGCAGTAAACGTGCAAGGCGAGATGTCTCTTCGACAGGTAGATTTCATTTTCCTTGAACATATATCCAAGAGTGGGAGTTTTAGCTCACATGGTAGTTCTATTTTAAGTTTTCTGAAGAACCTCCATACTATTTTCCACAATGGCTATACCTATCTACCATCCCATTAATAGTGTGAAACATGATCTGTTGCTCTACATTATCACCAAAATGTATTTTCTTTTGTCTTTTTTATAATAGCCAATCTTACTAGAGTGAAATGTTATCTCACCATGATTTTTAGTTGCATTTCCCAGATGATTAGTAATCTTGAGCATTTTTCCATATACCTGTTAGTTGTTTGTGCATTTTCCTTTAAGAAAAGTCTGTTTAGATCTTCTGCCATTTTAATTAAGTTATTATTCTGTAATTGATTTTCTATGTTCCTTTATATATCCTAGATTTTAGCCCCTTGTCAGATTTATAGCTTGCAACTATTTTCCCAGTTCTGTAGGTAGTTTCTTTATTCTGTTAATTATTTCCTTTGCTCTTCAAAATCTCATTTGTCTATTTTTGCTTTTACTTCCTGTGCTTTTAGGGTTTCACTCAGAAAATCTTTTCCAAGTCCAATGCCCTGAAGTATTTTCCCATGTTTTGTCCTAATAGCATCAAAGTTTCAGGCCTCACATTTAGATCTAATATATTTTGAGTGGATTTTTGCAAATGATGAGAGATAAGTGTCTAGTTTTATTATTCTCTGTGTGGAAATTTAATTTTTCCAGCACCATGTTTTAAGAAGAGTATCATTTTCCAATGCATGTTTTTAAAAAATTTTTATTAATATAAAGGGAACAAATTTCATAGGAACAATTCTAAGAAGGTAATCATATTTCTCTCCCTCTCTCTCTCCCTCCCACAATCCCCCTCATTCCTTTCCTCCTTTTATTTTCTTTAATTTTTGTAAAAACATAATTATGATAAACTATATGATCACAAGCTTAATGTACCACTAACTGTAATATACAGCAAATAAAAAGTAGAAAGATCACAGTTCCATTAGTGCATGTTCTGAGCACCTTTGTTAGAGATCAGTTTACTGTAGATGTGTGGGTTTACTTCTAGGGTCTCTATTCTATTCCATTGGCTTATGTATCTGTTTTATATCAATGTCATGCTCTTTTCATTATTTTTGCTTTGAATGTGTTTTGTTTTATTTTTTTAAAGATTTGTTTATTTATTTGAAAGGCAGAGTTGAGAAAGAGAGAGAAAGAGACAGAGAGAGAGAGAGAGAGAGAGAGATCTTCCATCCTTTGGTTCACTCCCCAAGTGCCAAATGGCTGCAATGACCAGAGCTGGGCTAATCCAGAGCCAGAAGCCAGGAGCTTCTCCCGGGTCTCCCACATGGGTGCAGGGGCCCAAGTACTTGGGCTGTGTTCCACTGCTTTACCAGGTGCATTAGCAAGCAGCTGGATTGGAAATAGAGCAGCCAGAACTCAAACTGGTGCCCATATGGGATACTGTTTCTGCCCCATATGGGATGCCAGCACCACCAGTAGAAGCTTTACCCACTATGCCACAGCACAGGCCCCTTGAATGTGTTTTAAAGTCAGGTAATGTAATACCTCCTTCTTTATAGTTTTTGCTTAAGATTGCTTTGGCTATTAAGGATCTTTTGTGGATCCACATAACTTTTAGTAGCATTTTTTCTTGTGCTGTGAAAAAGTCATTGGAATTTAGATAGAGATTGCACTGAATTTGTAAATCATTTGGGATACTATACATGTTAATGATATTGGCTTCCAATCCATGAACATGGGATACCATTCCATTTCTTTGTGTCCTCTTCAATCTCTTTCATCAGTAATTTATAGTTTTCATTTCAGAGATCCTTTACTTCTTTGGTTAAATTTATTCCCAAGTATTTTATTTTATTTGGTTCTTGGAAATGAGATTTCTTTCTTGATTTTTTGATGTGATTTGCTATTGGTGTATAACTATGATACCAATTTTTGCACAGTAACTTTGTACCCTGAAACTGTGCTGAATTTGTTTATTAGTTCTAACAAATTTTTGGTGTCGTCTTTCAGGTTTTCTATACATAATAACATGTCAGCATCAAACAACAGTTGTTATACTTCCTTCTTTCCAATTTGATTGTCTTTCATTTCTTCCTTTTGCCTAATTTCTCTAGCTAGGGCCTCTAGTACTATATTGAATAAAAGTGCTGAAAATGTGCATACTTGTCTTGTTCCAGATCTTAGAAAGGCCGCAGCTTTTCCCTATTCAGTGTAATGTTAACTGATGGCTTGTTACATGCATATTTTATTATGTTGAAATATGTTTCTTCTATACCTAATTTGGTTGGTTTTATCATGAAGGGATTTTGAATTTTATCAAATAATTAATAAGACTAGTGCCTATAAAGTCATGATAGAATTATCACACTTCAGTAAGACTGACATTATGTTCACTGCTATGCAGTGAATATTCAGTTATCCCCTAAAATTATGTATGAGTTATTTAAAATAATATGTATTTAGTTGGCATCTCAAGATATTGACACTGGAAAGAGGACAATTTGTCTTGTATGTTTTGGATTATCAATTGGAAATTAAAATATCCTTATGTCTTTATTGATATACCAGAATAAATGCAACTATAGTCAAGGATCAAAAAAGTTTTAATTAAAATCATCAGTGAAAAAAAGCTTGACTCCATTATGAATTGGATCTGCGAAGACTTTAATTGTGATTCAAATCTAGATGAAATAAAAAATAAATTTGATAAAACTAAAATTGTAGAAAGTGTGATCAAAATTCCAAGGTCAAAACAGGAAAGCATTGGGAAAAATAGCTGCCACTTTTCTTAAAGATAAGGAAAAAAGCTTTCTAATTTTAAAATAGGAAAATGATAAATAGCAATACTAAAGCTCAATAATAAAATGAGGAAAAGTCTTGATTAAATGCTCAATCATACTTCTAATGAGAAAAACAAAATTAAATATCTTAGTAATACAGAATTTCTTATTGATCACTATGATAAAAATTCAACTGTTTATGGTATAGTCTGTTAATTTGATAGACTACAAATTACTTAAATATATTTTTGTTTGATTTCAAGATGTTACAACACATTTGATGAAATATTTGGAGTTACACACACATACAAATATACATGGGGAGAACTTCAAAAAGTTCATGGAAAATGAAGAAGAAAGATAAGTTTTGGGGTGCAAAAAGTGTTAAATCCATGTTTGAGAGATCATCAAGTTCATGGTAATACATACTATTAAAGAACTATTCATATATTTAAAGTTATTTTGCACTAACATACACTTATTTTTTAATCCAGTGTTCCACAGGCTTTTATATCAGTACAATAATATAGTAACATTATAATAAAGCTTTTATTTTTCATTTTGATTAACATAATAATTGTACAAATTTATGGTGTACAGTGTTGTACTTCAACATTTGTATACTGTGTGTACTGATCAAACATATATAATTAGCAATTCAGTTTTCCTTATATTTTATTCAAAGGCCTTGAACTACTCAATACTAGTTTCATATGAAATATACAATATATTATAATGAACTATAGTCACTTCACTGTGCTATGGGACACTAGAACTTATTGCTTCTATCCAGCTGTTTTTTTGTACCTGTTAGCCAGCCTCCCCATCTGTCCTTCCTCCCCACCTTTTCTAACCTCTATTAATCACTATTATGCCTTCATATTGACTTTTTTAGCTTCACATAGGAAAGCGAACATGCAGTATTTGTCTTTGATTATCTGGCTTATGTCACATAACTATGTTCTCCAGTTCCAGACATTTTGTGGCTTTTAACATCAAAGTAATGTACTAGACAGAAAACATACACCAAAGTACACACAGCCACACAGAAAGAGATGTTTGTAATATGATTACTAAAGAAAATGTTACAAAAATTTTTAAAGATTTATCTATTTATTTATTTGAAAGTCAGAATTACAAAGAGAGAAGGAGAGACAGAGAGAGAGAGAGAGAGAGAGAGAGAGAGGTCTTCCATCTGCTAGTTCACTCCCTTGTTGGCCGCGATGGCCAGAGCTATGCTGATCTGAAGCCAGGCCATCTTGTATTGCCTTACTAGGCCAAGGCAGAGAACTGGAAGCGGAGCAGCTGGGACTCGAACTGGCGCCCAAATGGGATGCCGGCACTGCAGGCAGCTGCTTTACCTTCTACGCCAGAGTACCGGCCTCCATTACAAAATTTTGATATTTTTGGAAATGAGGTGATGGATCTGTTAATACAATATTCTCTTTACTATGTGTTCACGTGGTCATTTAACTCAATATTTTATTTAAATTTTATTTATTAGAGGGAGAGAGAGGTCACTCTCACCCTCTGGTTTATGCCCCAAATTCCTGCAACATCTTGGGATTTAAAACCTGGAGCCAGGAATTCAGTACAGGTTTCCCATGT